CGTCCTTGGACAAACAGAAAGATTCCGGCGGGAAATCCGGCGGCGCATCCTTCGCGACACCGTCGTCTCCGGCCAATGTTTCGCACGCGACTTTCCTGTCGGTTGCACCGCCGCCGGCACAGGCGGAGACCAACGTCTCGATATCGACTTGAGGAGGCATTTTAGTGAGGGAGACCGGAGAATTTTAGGGGGGAGAGAGAAAGGAGGAGGCCGGAGACAAGTTGGACTGGAATCTGCCGGAAGAGAGATGGAGAGGGAGGCGATTTATACAGTTGGGACTCTTAAATAAATTAGTCAAAAATGACCTACTTGTTGTGTTTCTTACATGTGTAACTCATGTTGGTGTACCCCTAGCTTAATTCTTTCTACATCTCTCATGGCTATTCCTTAACCGCCCCAATATTTATATAGAAAGAGTAAGTATTTTTAAGAACATAAAGAGTATATACAATGACACATTATCAAAGTGCAAACTTCTATTTATAAATTAAAAGCATAGAGCTCCTATTTTAATAGTTTTTCTATGTTTACTCATGTTTAGATGATTTCTTTTTCAATTTACACGCATTAGACAATGAGTAGTGGGGCTTGATCCCGGGCGTGAATGTGAGCGTCACGACGTGATCATCGCACCACCGCCGGCGTGACAGATGCGTGACAAAGGAGGCTTGATGGTGGTTACGGGCGTTAGTTGCCGCTCTCTTTCTTTATTTTCTTATTCCGTATCTTTTTAATATAAAACAACCAAAATTTAACACACTTCTACATGAACCAATCAAAATATTTCACACTCTATCACTATGCTTTGACACATATTTTCATCACTTCATATTATATTTATTTACACTTCAATTCATAAAACCCTTGGTTAACTAAAACAAGAAGTCAAACAACAAACGTTGTGTAATTTCTTCTTCTCGCATGTAAGGAAGAAAATGCGGTGATGTATAGAGCCTTGAGGGCGCCGGCGAATTGCCAGGTGGCCCACGAAGCGCTGTTGGATGGTTTATCCGCCAGGGCAGTTGTTCGATCACATACATTTCAATCTTGATTTGATTGCTACGAAATTGATGCCGGGTCCGGCTTGATTCGGTTCTTAGAGCATTTACAATGGGGATGGTCGAGGCCTATCGAGCCGAAAGAAAAAAGAGCCGCGCCGCGGCTCGTTGCAATGGACGGCCGGTGCAGTGGAGGCTAACAAATTAAAAAAAAAAGAGTTCGATTTGGCGCGGTTGATTGTTACAATGGACAGCCACCCTCCAAAATCGCTGGGTTTCGCGACCGGCTGGACGCGCCACAAGAGCAGCCCGCGCCGTGGCGGAACATCCGCCGGTTGCCACGTAGTGGTAGCCCGGCGCGGCGGGCGTTGTTTCTCATGCGGTCTTTTTGATAATTTTTTTGACCTATTATTGTCATTATTATTTTTTACTGTATATTGACATTTCATAATAACTTTTAGTATTTTATATTGACATTATGAATCTTATTTTGTGGATAAGAATATAAAAAGTATTTATTTCAATTATTTTCCTATATTTATTCTTATTTTACTATTTCACCATTGTGAATACTTGAATTCGTTTTGATTTTAATTAAAATTTAAAGACAAAAGTTGAGTGTGTACCATTATTGGGCCTAAAAGTTTCTCCAAAGATTGTCCATGTGCGTGTGTCTATTAGCAATTCACAATTGCGAAATTAATGATAATGAGAATCAATACATGCATATACTCCAGATTAAGCTAATAATGCCTTAATTATGGATTAGCAACCGATAATAATGCCTTAATAATGGGCGAAAAACACTAACCGGAACACTAACCGATAATAATGCATTAATAACGGGCTAAAAACACTAAACAAGTTTGTGTGGAAATAGCGTTAGAAATTAGCGTCAGCATTTTGGATAATATTTTAATGGTACAGATTACTTTGAAAACGTTAACGCTAAATGCTGCTCATTGATAACCTTTTTAAAACGCTAATCTCTAACGCTATTCTCAAACAGACTCTAATGTAATGGTGGACTAAACGCCCAAATTAAGTTAATTATATATCGCGTATCAGGTGGGGAGGGATCGACCCCTCAACTAAATTAGTTCATGAACACCAAAACATGCCTAATTAGCTTTGTCTCTACCTAGTACCATTCACAAGAAAATGATTAAAGTGTCACATGTGAAAAATAATTATAATAATCACTCCCTTTAATAATTAAGGAACTAGTTCAATAAAATAAATCCTTTTTGTATTGGTCAACATTTATTTTTATTTTTTTGATAATTTAACAATTCCTTGTCCCTTCTTCACAGTTCACATGCACTATCTTTGTAAAACTAAAAGCCTGTTCTTTAGGTTTGAAAAAAGAGCTAGATGTTAAAAAAAATTGGAAGGAACTAGAAGAAATTGGAAAGAACTAGAATAAACTAAAAGAATTGGAAGAAGCTGGAAAAAACTGAAAACAACAACAACAACCAGTTGAATCCCACTACAGTAGGGTCTGGGGAGGATGTGTGTATGCAGACCTTGTCCCCACTCGGAAGTAGAGATAGAAGAAATTGAAAAAAAATTAGAAAAAAATTAGAAAATCTAATTTTTTTTTAATTTTTGTGTGTATTTTTATATTATTTTACATTCTAATTCTTGTTGTTATAAATTAATAATATTATTTTTATTATTATTAATATTAATTATTGTTATTATTATTATTATTATTATTTTTATTATTGTTGTTGTTGTTGTCATCACGTTATCTTAATGAATGCTTTTAAGATAAAAAATATTGTTATTTTTCATACAAAAAAACCATTGAAAAAAAATTAATTAGAATATAAAATTAGCATAATTGCTAAACAATGTTAGGTGAGCTGTCCCAAAATAGAAAATATTGTATGATTTTAATTTAGAAACGGATAAAGCATAATTAAGATAAATTAAAAGGGACAGGAATTCAAAGGGGTAGAAGTTATAATATGATGCGATCGAGAAATATTTGATATGTTTTGAATATTCCGAACACAAAAATAAAACCCAGAATATATATTTAAAAAAAATCTTAGAAGGAAAACCAAATTCTTTCTAGGGAGGAAAGTGTGAGAAAATCATTTCCTTTGTTTTTTTTCTTCCAAAATCTTTGAACCAAACATAGTGTTAGAGTATATAACAATCATTCCTGGGTCATGACCACAAGCTTGAGCTTTTGGTTGAATTGGTTCCTTGACACATAGTGTCAATCATTCCTGGGTCATGACCACAAGCTTGAGCTTTTGTGGTCATGACCACAATCATTCCTCGTTGACTAAGAGGTCACGGGTTCAAAACTCAGCACCACCCAGTTTAAAAAAAAATTAAGATTTCACGTACAAGGCTAAAAAAGGTGAGTATATAACAATTATTCCTGGGCCACAACCACAAGCTTGAGCTTTTGGTTGAATTGGTTCCTTGACACAAAGTGTTAAGGTTTAATATTCTGTACTTTACATGTTTGTAAAAAGTCACTCACTTTTTGTTTATCTAAAAAAACCAACATTTTTTTAAGAAAAAAATTTGCAACTCGAAAAATTTCTCTTTTAAACAAAATTTCAAACATATGTTTCTATTAATGTATATATTTTTTGCTTAGACTTTGTGAAACACAATATTTTTACGAGAAAGATCGATCTAGATAATGCATTGAACATGGTACTTGCAATTCATAAACTCATCCTATAAGATAATTCTCTCTTTTTGTTTGGTTTTCACAAGTAAAAAAAGTGCACCAAACATATTTCCTAGCTTGAGATTAGAGACTTAGGTTCTTCTGTATTGATCTCTTAGCTCTTTCTTCATTAGTGTAGAAGGATCCGTTTGGGAATAGCATTTTTGAATTAGCGTTAGCGTTTTGGATAAAATATTTACGGTGCAAATTAAATTTGAAAATGCTAACGCTAAACGCTACCCATTGATAGCATTTTCAAAACACCAACGGTAACTTCTAAACGTATTCCCAAACATGCCCGAAGTGTAAAACCGTAAGCTCCAGTGCTCCACCATTAATAGCTACTAAGACCATCTCCAATAATACCTTTGTTTTTTCGTACTTTCTAGCTCTTCACCCTCGAAGATTACGGCATTAACAAATCCAAAATGGGGTTTCACTCTCTGTCCTCTCCCCCATATGGAGATATGTGTTAATTAGGAATGTTAATTAACCTTTTTCAATTAGTTGCATTTATCAATTTATGCATTTGTCTTTTTTCTTATATATAGTTAATTGCAATTTTTTAAAAAATTATAAACTTTTAAAAGAAGAGAAAATGAATATTTTTTATTTGAGTTTCAAGTAATGCATTGAAAATAAATTACTCCCTCCGTCCCAATTTATTTGCAACACTTCGAACGACGTGCAAAATATCATCTCTTTTAAAATCACTTTAATTTCAAATTGGTAGAGTAATAAAAAGTAAAAATTACACCAGTTAAAAGTATATGAAAAGCTCTACAAAACAAGATGCGACAAGAATATTTTATTTTATCAAATGTTCAACCAAAACGAGTAAACAAACAAAAGTTATCGAGAGGCCAGAATAATAAACGTGGCATTCTTTCTGGGACGGAGGGAGTATTACATTTACGATTTGTACTGCATTTTAGATTTGAGTTTGATGTAAATGATTGCAGACACTCTAAATTAATGTGTTTCTCAACACATGGACCAATTGACTAATTCTCCATGAAATGGCTGGAGTGCAATATTTTCTCAACACAAATATTGGCTCGTGAGACATTTCTTTTTTTAAAACAAAAAATCCAATGTGTATTTTATATCGATGATACTTTTTAGGAGTACATTGTACAACATTTACCGGAGTACTTCGTATATCATAGTCTGTATTTAACGAATTAATACTCAACATAATAATCATAAAACAGAAAACCAAAAAAATGACAATGATTGGGAATGAGCCCAAGAATAACTTTTTTGGGGTCAACTATCCCAAAATGCTTCCTCCCCCAAATATGTAATTTGTCTACTCTTTATGGCTTGTTTGGCAAAAAAAGAATGACCCTAGTCATATTCTGAAACATTTACTACTTGTACTGCCACCATTATTACACAATTTTCTTCTATCTTTATTCACAACTCTGTGTTTGTGTATGTGTGTGTGTGTCCTGCAGATCCCATCATCATCATCATATTGCAAGAGTCAGGAAACTGTTGCTCTGTTGAGAATGTAGTGAGGAAAGGGATATTTCCTGCAGGCCGCCATTATCTAACTGGAAAACTCGTTCAGCCATTAGCACCGTATCCAAGCGGTGAGCGATGATTAGCACCTGCTTATAGAGCAGATCAAAACAGATTAACGCTTCGTTTGGGGAACAACATTTGTTTGCACTTCCAATAGTTGTTTAATCACGCAAATTGACTTTGAGAACTCTGAAGCTTATAGCTACCGTTGGATGACATTTTCAAAATGCTAAAGCTAGAGCCAAATGGAGCCTAAGACCTTTTTTTGTCTGAATCTGCTTATTTTTTGAACGGGAAACGTTTGGAGACATAGATTTCAGGCAAGTAAGTCATTCAAAAGCTTATTGTTCTGGTTATTCAGATAAAACTACGTGCCAAGCATAGCCAAAATGAGAATGAAGTAGGGAAGGGCATGGTTTGAAAATGAAAAAGAAAAAACTTACGGTGCGATTTTGCATCAGACGCTGTAGAGCTTGCCTCACCAACAGCTCTGATCTGCTATCTAATGCAGAAGTTGCTTCATCCAGAATTAGAATGGAAGGATCTTGGTAAATTGCTCTTGCAATAGCTATTCTGGGAAAAGGGAAATATACAAACATCACCTCTCAGTTATGCCACTAAACCATGAATTGTACTCCCATTTTGGTTATGATCACATGATCCACACTTACAGATTGTGAAATGTGTTCTAAAAACCCCCACTTGCACGTTAGGCTTCACCAGACCACCTACTTGTCTTTTTAAGATAGCGAAGCTATGCTCTTTAAAAAATAAAAAACTAAGAATTTCTGTTTTGAGCGAAGCCCACACAAATTTGTTTGCAGACACTTCCTAAGAGACACATACTAAAGGGGTTAGACACAAACTTAAATTCAAGGCAGTCCTCCCTTAAGTTTTGGATTTGGGACATGGTTGCACACCAATGGGCCCCATTTAGGTCAGTCTACCCCCCGTGTCGTGCCTAGTACTTTTTAAAGCATTATTTAGAAATAGTCCCAAGTTATGCATACCTTTGCTTCTGGCCTACACTAAAGACTGAGCCCCGGGGGCCAACGCTTGTTTGATATCCATTGGGTAGTTTCCCAATGAACTCACCAGCATTGGCAGTTCTGGCTGCAGCTTCAACTCTATCCATATCGATGCTAGTCATTCGATCCCTATACCCAATGTTCTCGGCAATAGTCCCAGAAAAGAGTGTCTAGAAAATACAAGAATGTCAATCAACCATTAAAATCGTACGTGAAGCATGACTTTAAAATATAATGTTGATATCAAGAAACACCCTAAATCCATTATCCAGTCTCAAAAGTATTTACTGACCAAGCTTTGGTTTGGCTACAATGTATTGGACCCCTCTGGTATGGGTCATTTGACTGAAATAACTAAATGTGATAAATTTTCTGGAAGCATTTGTTAATTTATTCATTTCAGCCAAGTCAAAAACTACTTACTGTGGCGATTAGCAAAATAAGCTGATAGGAGCTGCCGAATGGAACCTCAATAAAGGAAGTTTAACTAAAACATAAGTCATTTCCCAATGTAGGACTTAAACTTTTTAATTCTCTAAATATGACTTAATAATGTCTAGTGGGAGAAAAAATGTCCAGTAATGATGGACATTTACTTGAATAATGACTAATTAATAATGACCAAAGGTCCTACATTGGGAAATAAAAATATATGGTCCTATATTGGGAAAGTCATTATGTTTTAGTCTTATTTAAGTAAATTTCTCAAAATAGTACTATGTTTGTCAATGCACCTTCATAGGTGTTTTCAAAAGCTTTATCGAAAAGCACATGTGGAAAACATCTTTCTCACATGGTAAAACATTTTTGCTCTTATGGAAGTGGTTTTCACCCTTTCGAGAAGCGTATCCAAATAAGCAGTAATATTAGAATACAAAAACACCTATAAAATATAATAGGTAGTAACTTACAATGTCTTGAGAGACCAGACCAACATGTCTCCTCAAACTATCCAGCTGAATATTTCCAATATCAAACCCATCAACCTGTATGGTACCTGTAATGAAATATTAAAGCAAACTATCATCAAGTTACAGACAAATAAATAAATAATCAAAGACTTTTCCAGTTTTATAATTATGGAGTATGTCATAAATTGATACATACCACTAAATATTTCAAGGTTTTTTGAGTACAAATTACAGTGAGATAAATATTAATGATAACTTAGTCATTCTACTGTGTTTTACTCATTGGTGAAAGATGTTTCATGTTTGCGAACAAAATGTCTTTAGTTATGGATTAAGAACAGAGGGAGATAATCCATAATAGCAGATAACACACCTTGAAGAGGATCATAGAGGCGAAGGAGGAGTTTTACAATAGTGGTCTTTCCTCCACCGGATGGTCCAACAAGAGCAACAGTCTGTCCAGCTTTAATATGAAAATTTAATCCTTTCAGAACGAGGGGCCCATTCTCTCCGTATCTAAAAGATATATCAGAAAAGTTTACTTCTCCAGCAATGCAATCCAAGTTTACTACATTTTGTTGATCATCCACCTAGTTTTGTTCAGATAAAAGAGACCAGCAATTTTTTTAGTAACAAAGAGGTGGGTGGTGCTGTACGCAACAAAAGATGACTGACTATATAAAGTTTAAGTGCACCAAAAAGTACTCTTATTTACTTGTCCACTCCTCCCATCATAATTAATCAGGGTAAATGTACCTTAGAAAGACTACCTTAGATTTGAAACTTGTCAGACCAAACAAACGCTGAATAGCCGGTTCTCCTTGTTTTATTTCATTGTAGGCTCTTCCGACGTCCTGCATAGACCTTTAAATTCATACGACTTATTGGAGAATGATCTCAACCCTTAATAAGATATTGGATTTGCAAAGTTAAGTTCAATATACATTAATATCTATGGACATCATATTGAACATCTATGCGAGAATTTTTTTGAAAAAATGACGGAATCCTTATTGAGAGGTTGGAAATTTGAAATGAAAGTATAATTTTTTAAAAAAACTCTAATACATCAAAGTGAAAAACCCTTATGGAGAATGATAAAACATCCAATTATCCAATGACAAAGGTGTTAATAAGAAACGTAGAAACCAAAATTGAACCATAGATTTGATAATGCAGAGCATATAATGCTAAAAATCCCAAATTACTCATCATTAAGTAAATACAATTACCTGAATGGGCTGAATTAACAAAACCAGTGACGTCACGAAAGAAACCATGGCAGAACAATCAAAAGATCCTCTTGAAATAATCAGCGAGGTAGCACAAAATGTAAATAAGATCCCAAAGTACACTGCTTGCACCAACTGTGGAATAAATGCTTTCATTCTTTTCCTTTCTAAACTTGCTGATAGATCATCTGAAGCAAGGGATTCAAACCTAGAATTTTCATAGCTTTCTGCATTATTTGCCTTCACAAAAAGAATTGATGGAAGTACCTACAGAAAGGACAGTTTGTTTCTATGTAAAACATAAGAAAAAATGCTTCCTTACAAGTAATCTACTTGTCTAATGTAATTAGAGTGTGATTTTGCAGGACAGAGGAGACTCAAGAAACATCCACACGATAATGAAGCTAAGGTCAAATACCCAAGAATGACCCCAAACTGTTAATAAAAACCCGAATGAACCCCGAACTCTTCAGACTTTCTCTTTAGCCCTTGTAGTAGCTATAGTAACTCATTAATGACCCTGAATTTCCACACAACAAAAGCAAAGCAAACTCTGACATACTGTCTATGTAGACACTTTAAACACAGCCAATATTCAAACTTTGACGAAAAAAAGAATATTCAAACGCTTTGGATGTATAATGGTGTTTTTTGTATCTGGAACTGATCTTATCATAGGTTATAGCTTTCTTCAAGTGTCTAACCCCATTTCAGTTTTGTGGTGCCTGTATATACGAATTCCTGAAGTCAATCAACACTTTTTCAAAAGTTCAAGATCATTTTAGGTAGTTTAGGTTGGCTGAAAAGTTAGGATCAATCAAAGTCTTATGTTTAAAGTTCCGGGTATTTTTGTTTTTTTGTTATCTGACCAAAATAAAAGAACATGGAGTACCTCATGGAGGTAGGCAGATAGACCAGCAACAGTAAGATGTGCTTGATTGGATAGATGACGAAGCTTTTCACCGAGGAATCCAATGACAAAAACCATCAGTGGAATCACCTTCAAAAATTCACCAGAAATCATCGATGACTCTTGAATAACCCAAATTATGTTGAGGAAACAAAAGGGAAATAGCAAACATCAACTCTTTTTTGTTCTTTCTCACCAATGCTGAAATTAAAGACAGACTAGGACTGATTGCCAACATCTGAGATGCCATTGCTAATAGCTGTAAGGTGCAGGGTACAATTGTCTGTGATAAAAGTGGATTAGAAATTAGAATGTCAAGAAAAAGCAAGGAAAGGAAAACCCAGATAATCAAAGTATAGATAAAAGAAGAACTCACATTCAAGAGAGAATAAACAGTATCTGCAACATCAGAAGCCTCTGCAGTGATCCGATAAGCAATATCGCCCGAAGCAACCCCACTCTCGCCTTCGAAGAATCCCAAATCCCTTTCCAAAACCTTCCGGAACACGAAAACTCTAACCTTATATGCAGAGCTCAACGATGCATTCCAGAGGAAATCCTGTTGGAGGTAGTTGGAGACGAGTCTAACCAGATACAGAGCCCCCAAGATCAAGCTCCGCTCCTTCATCTTCATGGCGTCTGTTGGGGTCATCAACGCAGAGAGCTCCCCGATGGCGGGGACGAGTTTGGAAAGACAGTAAACGGAGACCGAACTGCAGGCCCACCCGCAGAGGATCGGTTGCCATTCGGACTTGACGTAGGGTTTGAGGTGGGAAAGAGAGGTGGCGCCGGCGCCTGAGCCGGAGGAGGAACAATGAGTTCGGGTGAAGATGGGTGGTTTGATCGGGATAACTATCGGGCGGAGTGCGGCGGATTTATGGTTGCGGAAGGAGGGAGTGTAGGCGGCGTACGGCGGGCGCAGATGGAGAGCCATTTTTTCCGTGGATATAAAAAGAGGCGGTTAACAACCACTTTCGCGCTAATAGCTCTTTATCGTCGATCAGAAAATTAGGCACTCTTGCGCCAATAAAACGCTGACACGTGAGCATATGAACAGTCATCTTCTCCGCACCACAGCTAAAACCGCCGCCGCCGCCGCCCCATGGAACGCCAAGCTGCAGGAGCTTTCCAGACAAGGTCAATTCCAAGAAGGCTTGTCGCTTTACCGACGAATGCTCCGATCCAATGCCTCCCCAAACGCCTTCACGTTCCCTTTCGCTCTCAAGTCCTGCGCCGCCCTCTCCCTCGCTCTCGCCGGCGAACTTCTCCATTGTCACGTGGTTAAGTCCGGGTGTGAATCCGAGCCGTTCGTACAGACGGCGTTGATCTCCATGTACTGCAAATGCGGGCTGGTAGAGGACGCCTACAAGGTGTTCGACCAAAATCCTCACTCAAGAAAACTTACAGTGTGCTACAATGCTTTGATCTCTGGGTGCGTCAAGAACTCCGATTTCAAGAATGGGGTTTTCCTGTTTCGTGAAATGAGATCGGCCGGAGTGGCGATCAGTGCTGTCACCATGTTGGGTCTGGTTTCCGGCTGCAATGCTCCCATGTTTCTGGACATCGGCATGTCCTTCCATAGCCTGAATGTTAAATGTGGTTTGGACACATATTTGGCCATTGTAAACTGCATCTTGACAATGTACCTTAGGTGTGGGGAAATTGAACTTGCAAGGAACCTCTTTGATCACACCTCCAAAAAGGATGTGATCACTTGGAATGCGATGATCACCGGGTATGCGCAACACGGGCGCGCTCCGCATGTCTTGAAACTATATGAAGAAATGGAATCCTCGGGACCACGTCCCGATCAAGTGACATTCGTCGCGGTTTTATCCGCGTGTGCTGATCTCGGCGCTAAGAAAACTGGTTTCGAGGTAGAAAAGAGGATCGAGTCCCGCGGGCCCGCGTTCTCCAATACCTTCTTGAAGAACGGTTTGATCAACATGTACGCCAGGTGTGGTGACGTGGCGAGAGCCCGCGCCATATTCGACGACACGCCAGAGAAAAACCTGGTGACGTGGACTTGTATGATCGGAGGGTACGGAACGCACGGGCAAGGAGATACCGCCGCGCGACTGTTCGACGAGATGATAAGCTCGGGCACCCGGCCTGACAAAACCGCCCTCGTCGCCGTCCTATCCGCGTGCAGCCACGCGGGACTAACCGAACGCGGCTTGAGCTACTTCTCCATGATGAAAACGGATTTCGGGCTGGAACCGGGCCCGGAACACTATTCTTGCGCCGTGGACATACTAGGCCGCGCGGGCCGTCTACAAGAGGCCTACCAACTCATTCTCAGCATGAAAACAACCAAACCAGACGGCGCGGTTTGGGGGGCTCTCTTGGGCGCGTGTAGGATCCACAAGAACGCGGAGTTAGCCGAGGTAGCATTCGACAACGTCGTCCAAGTGGACCCCACGAACACGGGCTATTACGTTCTATTGTCTAACATCTACAACGACGCAAAGGATTTAGAAGGTATGCAAAGAGTGAGAGCGATGGTGAGGGAGAGGCGGCTGAAGAAAGATCCGGGGTTCAGCTACGTCGAGATCAAGGGAAAGATTCATCTCTTCGTGGCGGACGATAAGAGCCATTCTCACCTGAGAGAGATACACAACGTGCTGGATAGACTAGTCGAGGACGACGACGAAGAAGAAGAAGAAGAAGGAGAAGGAACGGCGAGGCGGCATAGCGAGAGGCTGGCGATTGGGTATGCGATCATGAACACGGAAGCGGGGGAGGAGGTAATGGTCATAAAGAATCTGAGGATATGCAGAGAGTGCCATATGTTTGTGAAGAAGGTGAGTAGAAAGTTGGGGGACAGGTTGTTTGTTGTGAGAGATGCCACTCGGTTCCACCATTTTAGGAATGGGTCTTGTTCTTGTCATGATTTTTGGTGATTCGTTTATACAAGTTACATATTTAAGCTAATGAATTTCAGTTATGTATAGTATTAGATGTGTAAATTGTTCATCCAGACTGAGATATATGGGCACCTCCATGAAATCAACGTTTTTTTTTAAGTTAAAAGAAAAAAGTGAAATTTGCACTAAATAAGATTAAAACATAATAACTTTCCTAATGTAGGACTTAAACTTTTTTATTCCCTAAATAGTACTTAATAATGACCTACTGGAAGGAATAATGTCCAGTAATGATGGACATTTAGTTGAATAATGACTACTTGATAATGACCAAAGGTCTTACATTGGGAAATAAAAACATATGGTTCTATATTAGAAAAGTCATTATGTTTTAGTCCTATTTAGGTAAATTTTTCAAGAAAAAAATTATGCTTTTGCTTTTCTGAAATGAATTTTTGGACAACTTTATTTTTGTCTTTTAAATAAATCTCAACCACACATGTTTTATTTTTCACTGGAAAGTGTTTAGTTTTTAATATTTTTCATAAGTTTCATTAAATGTGTGTTTGGTTGGTGGAAAAAAATTGTAGAAAAATTTTGATTTTATTTTGCAGTGTTTGGTGACATTAATGGAAAAAAAAAATTTTGGGGAAAAACATTTTCTCTCACTAAGGGAAAAACTTTTATTTTATTTTTTTGGGGAAAATTTCTGATTTTATTTGGCAGTGTTTGGTGGCCCCCCACCCCCCCCCCCCCACCAACACCCCTTACCTCGGCCCCACATATACTACCACACTCATCCACATCATGGAAGCTTAGAATTTCATTTTTTCTTTGCTATCTCTGTTTTTCTATCGGTTTCCATACTCTTAAATTCTAGAAAAACACTGATTAAGACAGCATTTTAGTTCTTAGATCACGTGCATAATTTGTCTTTTACAGAAGTAGATAGAGGGCTAGAGAACGGAGGGTATTTGGCATGCTCATAATTTTTTGAAGAAGAGGAGAAAGATTAGGGACAGGAGCTATTAGGCACGTTGGCGGCTGTTAAGCACACACCTAGGAGAAATCTTTACTTCGATATCAGGAAACAATTTGATAAAAGATTGGTTTGATTGAATAATGAAGATTTCATCTATACATATATGTACTCCATCTATCCTATATCTTTCTCTATGTGGCGCAAAACGAAAAAAAATCCAAATTTTAAAAGGGAAAAGAAAAGAAAATGAAGTGAAAAACAAGTTTTCTTGTTTGGTTAGAGATGAAAAGGCAGGAAAAGTGGAAGGAAAAAGAAATGAGAAGGCAAAATGTATTAAATGGAAAGAAAAACCAAATTCCTCCCATTTTGTTGAGAAAAATGAGTGAAAATATCTTGCTGAAGCATTTGTTCTCGATGACAGACTATGAGAAAGACATTACCGGAGACATTACCGTCAATATAACTATATATCACAAACACTGAATGAATGTCAAATTATCTTGTTTAATGCACATCCTCTGAATAACCTACAAGTTGGACGTTGACTGGTTGAGCCATAAACAAGATAACCGACTGAATACTTATTAATTACTCTCTCCGTCCTTAATAGAGTAAAGAACAAGTGGTCCGCAATCTTTTTGTTCCCTATAATCAAATTTAGTCACTCACTTTTCTCCTTTTTAAACACTTTTCTTAAACATCATGAAGTGAAAGTGAGACGGTTTTTTGGGACGGGGGAATACTATTTATCAAATCATATAGAGAGTATTATCTTTCTTTACTTATTTTCATTGACCATTTAATAAAACGTCGTGCAACAATGGTCTTGCCCTTGATTTAATGTCATTTAATCTTATATGCTTCATTAGGATCCAACCTTGCAACATCAAACAATGTATATGAGCAGTATATATATGTCATGCATCAATCCACAACTTTATTCCAAACGAAACGGGATACTAATAAACTATGTATATTCTTAATATTAACAATGACAATTATTGCTTTTCTGGGTGTCTATCGTGGGGAAGTATGGTGCGTGTGGCATATATCCCCTATCTAGCTCGACAGGGGATGTATGAAAACCTGGTCGATCTTCTTCAACAAAAACATACACCTACGAAACACATACAGTGCAAAGAGTATCAAGGAGAATTTATATTAAATGGCAGAGAATCCTAAATAAGGTATGAAGAATAATATGAAAATACAAGAATGAGACAAATAAAATAATATTAGGATTCTATATATATATTAATAAGCTTGTGACAAGAACCATTCCGAACCATTTGAAAAAAACAAGACAAAATGTGGGACGGTATAGAACTCGAACCGTCCAGATATGTGCTCATTTTTAAATTTAACTACGTAGTATATAGTACTAAAACATAATATAGTAAATTTTCCAATATAGTACCATATATTTAAATTTTTGAATATAGTACCATGGTTCAATGTCTACACGACATTGTTTAAAGCCCCATTTGACATCATCTTTAGAAATTAGCGTTAGCGTCAAAAAAACTATCCAATGGTAGCCTTTAGCGTTAACATTTTCAGAATTAATCTATACCGTTAAAATTTTATCCAAAACGCTAAAGCTATTCGAAAATGTTATTCCCAAACAAGACCTAAGTAAATGTGTACCATTACTAGACATTGTTTAAAAGTAGTGAAATTTGCACTAAATAGGACTAAAACATAATGACTTTCCCAATGTAGGATGTAAACTTTTTTATTCCGTAAATAGAACTTAATAATGACCTAGTAGGAGGAATACTGCCCAGTAATGATGGACATTTACTTGAATAATGACTGCTTTATAATGACCAAAGGTCCTACATTGAGAAATAAAAACATATGATCCTATATTGGGAAAGTCATTATGTTTTAGTCCTATTTAGGTAAATTTCTCTTAAAAGTAATGTTCACCACAATTAGACATAATTCCTGCCACTGGACATTATTCAAATACTTTTCAGAGAATAAAAATTTTTAAGTATTACATTAAAAAATACTCCCTT